ACGAGGTGCCGATAGCGGCTGAAATCGACTCTGTGAATGTAGAGGCTAAGGAATACAACATCGCGCACGGTCGGTAGGTCATCGTCGTCGACCTCCAAGCCAAGCGCCCGGAATAAGGCATTCATCGTCTTCAGGTTCCGGACGCTTTTTTCGCAGCGCGCGGGGGTCTCTTCAAAAACGACCATCAAGGGTAACGCCTTCATGAGTTCTGGCTTCCCGAAAGCCTGCCGATACATTTCCCTGTCCGTTGCTGGTACTTGGTATGTCGCGAGCATCTCTTCCATGCCCTGCGCTGCGATACCCACGCACATCGTCAAAATTTCTTCCACAAACTCAGGAATGCGGTGGTTTGCCGTCCCTCTTTCGCTCTCGTACATACGCAGAGCCTCAAGCGCCGCCTCATCCCCCTCCAACCCGGACTCGGGTCCCGCCGCCCAAGTCCAGAAGTCCCGCGGATCCTGCTGCACCAGGGGAATGTAGTGATTGTACTGCAGGAAGATAAAGACAGGGGGCACAGCAAGCGCATCGGCCCATGTCTCGTCCTCAGTTTGTCCTGAAGTCCGGTCTCTCCGATCGGGGCTGTGGATAGCAAGAAGACGGCAGTCCTCTGGATCATGGCGCAAGGGGAGAAAGAGCCCTCCTTGAAAGCCCTCTGCAAGGATCATTATGGGCCTGCGAACAGCATTGGCCAGCGCCGCGACGTGGATCTCCTCCAGGTATTGAGCCGGCCCGCGGGCTTCTCCCTCCGAGGGTCGCGCTTTCTCGACGGCCTCCTCTACGAAGGCAGCCGTCCATTTGGGCCTCCCGGTCTTCACATTGTCAAACTTTCGCATTTCTGTTGCTGCCTGTCGCATACTCCTCTCTCTATCATCCTGCCCCCGCGCGCGCGCCTCTCTCGCGGCCTTGTCCAGGCGCGGGAGGAAGCGCGCCTTATCCTGGTCCGTGACGAAGCCAGCCTGTCGGTAGAAAGCAGCATGGTCGCGGAGTTCCTTGTGCGCGGCCCAACGCAAAGCGTCCGAGTAAATTTGCGAGCCAGTGAGGGCGGTTGAGACGGCGTGTACGAGACAAGAGCCATCGCCGTCCACTGATACAGGCCTCAAATTCACGCCCAAGTCCCGCAGCACTCGAAGGGCCTGGCCCTCCTCCTCATCTAATGGCTCGATAGGACGTCTCACGACAGGCTCGCCGGCTGGTGGGAAAGGCATGAAGGGACTCCAACGCAGACCGGCCGCCACGTACTCGCGGCGCTCTAAGTCTCGTAGCAGGTTCTGCCCCTGGTACCAAAGCTTGATCGAGTCCCAGTCCATAAGCATCGTCGAGCGGACAGTCTTGAAGCCCGGTGCGAAGTTCGTGGGCTTCAACCGGAAGTCGAACCGCCCTAGTGCCTCCACTTGGAAAGGCTGGTCCGTGCCTCCGCAGCCTTGCGACCCCCCCCCCTTTGTACATAACGGGTCCAGCGCACCGGTCTGCTCTCTTTGTCGCGCTCTCGAATCGCCTTGAGCTGCGATATCGTCGATTACAGGAGTCATGCCAGAATTAGGTGAATTTATACAAACAAGTTGCTGCCCTTTTCCCTGAAGGGCAATATCTCTGGTTCTTACACTCTGCTGCGTGCATTCTGCATCGTCGTGGGTGTCCGCATTGACACAAAGACCTGGGTGTAGAGCGCGTGATTGAATGCGCTAAGATGTGAGATAGTATTTTCTCCAGGTCCAATAGAAAAGAGACGCGAAAATGTACAGTGTGTGTAAATGTTGTTATGCAGATTGTGGTCATTTGCACGTGTATAACGTAGGTTCTGCAATTCCTTCCCGGCCGTGGCGCGACCTCCGAAAGGCACTTCGATAAGAAATTGCACGTCACTTGAAATGAGCATGCCGATCAAAATAGCTTTGCTTTTTTCAAATAGAATTGCTCGACAATTGCCGTCCTGTAGTCATCTCACGATGAGAAACACTGTTGTATTTCAGTCACCAGCAAAATATAGCCTTGTACGTTGCATGACATGAGACTTTCGGTGGTACAGTATACACAAAGGCACACATACACACGCACTTACCAAGAACAAGATCCTTGTAGGACAATGTCATAAGCGACGCAAGGTACGGGAACGGGTCCCCTCGGCCTTGTTATTTGTTCCTCAAAAAGCCCCCCTCGTGAATTTTGAGGAAAGTGCATGAGAAGTAAGAAGGCACAATTCAACGATAAGAAATTTTCCTATGCAAATGGTAAGGGATTTCCCTATCACCTGTGGTGGGACTGAGTATAAAGACGAGGGAAGAGGGAATGGGAGAGTACACCAGCACTCACGCATATCGACATCGCATATCATAGTTGCCTCAGGCTGGAAACCGGATGGCTGATGATTCTCGTACCGGAAGGGATCCCCAATAACATGATGTTTCTCGTACCGGAAATGATCAGGAAGATGTTTCTCGTACCGTGATGTTTCTCGTGTGGACAGCCACCGCATTGTCCGGTGACGAGGGCCTCGTAAATGGGCCCCCGGACCCCTTTCTATTATTGTCAAAACTCGTCCAGGAGGACGAATTTTGGGCTCACTTACATTGCCCCTCTTCTTTATATTTTTACTTGCTGTCATCGCAGTGTACAATTCATAAGCTTATTATTTCTTTTCTGAGATCCTCGGTCGCGCTGTGAGGACAGTCAATCGCAATGAAAAAGGGACACCACCGCGGAGCAGATCAGGGGTCATACTCGTCCTTCATCAAGGCACCTACGCCCTATTTTAACAACAATCCTTACTCCTCCGGTGTAAAGGTAAAGCTTGAATTTCCAATTTCCAGCAGGAATAAGGCCAACATGCGTTTCATAAATCACGCACCACAGGATAAGGACAGCAGTAGACAAGTCATCGTGTCATCATCCCACGGGGCACTGGATATTCCAGTCATAAACACATTTCTCGATGAAGGTACAGGCGACATCTTCAATTTGAACGAGGAAAGCACGGGTCAGGAAAGGCAGACGCAACACGTCGGCGCGGGAAACGGAATCACTCGAAATTTTTGCAAGCGTACTCTGATGCCTCAATGTCAGCAGCAACCGCGGCGATTATCATGTTGTGGGGAGGAGATTCAAACATCATCTCATGCACATTCCTTCACGATTGCTCGGACCTTGGCCACAGATGGTTCGTCAAGTAAGCGCCTCGGTGTGCCCCATATTTGCTCGCAGCGGAGGGCTCCTAAAGAGGATCATATCAGTGCAACTTTGGCATCGCAGGCATCTTTGCGTGGCTCGCAAAAGTTTATGAGCCCTACCACAAAAAATTCAAATTTTTCTGGGGCTATAGTACGCGCGAATGGGCATGAAGGGCCCGAAAATGCACCGGGTTACACCAGCACTCACGTCCCTGATCTACGCTCCGAGGTTACTGACGTAACTGGAGACAAACACAAGGTTATCCGTCGCGACCGATTACACTGCGCAAAGCTACCTCATTCTATGTCGACTGCAGATGTGACGCTGAGTACACCACCGAATTCTCTTCTCACGAGCTCCCCCTCACGCTGTCTGGAAATATCTTCGTCAGGTACGGGAAGAATTGCCAACAACGACGGAGACAATGGCCTCCCCGCGGCGTGCGACTCTAAGTTGCAGAGGCAAATGTGGCATCAGAGAAGTTCCTCTGTCGCGCATTCGCCAACAGGCTGCGGACTCCATCGCTCCCCTCCCGCCCGTTGTGACTACGAGGCTTACGGTTTTCGGAATTTAGGCTCTGTCGGTGGGCGCACCAGCAGAAGCGTAAGTGCGCCAATCAAAATCCAAGGAAAAGGGGTGATCCCTCATTCAAGTCAGCATGGTGGTAGGATATCAACGTCCTCAGGCCTTCTATGTCAGCTGCGAGAGGGCTCTTTGAATATTCTGGCCAATATGGGAATTATGACACCGCCTAAGCCGCCACATGAATTAAATCTGTCTTACCCCTCCGAGCAATCATTGACGTTGGCCCAAAAAAACTACAAGTGTGATGTCACAGATATGGATTCGCTTAAAGGTTCCAGAGCACCTGAGATCGAGTACAACTTGGACGAAAGTGACAACTTGCGGCTCTCCATTCGCGCGTCAGATGTCATAGAGGGAAGTAGAAGACACAATGGCAGAGACAATGCTGAAGAGAGCTTGGATCAGTCTGTTGCCAGCACCAGATTCCAGCACTGGAATTTGCCGCATCCTCCTTGCAGCGGAAGTGAGGTTCCCGAACCTTATGTGAGCGAGAGCACAGCAGTGGCAGCGAGTGAGTGTGCTCGGACCGCTCTCAAAATGATAGTTAGGCGCATTATGGATGCGCAGGGCAAAGGTCACGAGGCAGCGCATGGGGAAGTCCGGAACTTTATTGAAGGTGGAGGTCTCGAGGCTCTTACTCGTGGAGTCGGGACACTAGACCACGACCCAGGAACGGCATTTAACCTGCTGTACATTCTCCGAGTGTTGACGATGGATACCGAGGCCCGAAAGCGTTTAGTCACCGACCCTGAAGGTCACGTCTTACTCGGGCATGTTCCAGCTATTATGCAACGCCATAAGCGCTCTGCACCAATTTTCAGGGACGGCTTAGGGATAATAAATACTTTGCTTGAGGATCCAGTGACCAGTAAGATTTCTGTCAATATAACTCTGACATCCGTCACACTTGCGATGGTGCGGGAGGTCCATCAATCTGCTATGCCCGGCAGCCGTGAGGAAAAGCTGTGCACAGATTTTTTGAGGCATGCAAATTCTGCAATCTAGGTTTCAAGCTCTGTTTACTTTAAAGAGTCCATATTTTGGGCGTTCACATATCGGACGAAACGAACGAGCATTAAGGGCATATTGGAGCCAAAGAAAAGGATAATTCAGACGTTTGGGTCAGAAAACATGTCATGCATAAGAGTTTTCAGGAGCCTGGGTTCCTCATACATGATAAATATTGATCGCCAAAAAGATGACATCGCGAGACCTTTTCTTCTTCTTGCATAGTCGCATGTCTCCTGTACACTATCAAAAATCAATGTCGAGATCTTTATCGCTTGGCAACAGGGCCTGAATATGCCCATCTGGTCTTACTAAGATAGAGCTGGCTTGCGAGTGGATACGCTGTTCCCAGTTCCCTTCAATATCATTCAATGTGAGGCAGCCCCCTTTTTTGATCAAATGTCGAAAGAGTGCCTGTTGATCCTCTTGTCCGAATTCTCCAAAGGTTGTTGTGCTGCTATGCGATGAGACTTCAGGACGCATAATAATTTTCACACCTATCAAAGGCATATTCCATCCCTTCAAAACGGTCTGAGATGCTGAGAGAGTTATCTTTTCTTCTGCGGAAGACGAAAGCAGTATGGCAAAGGGTCTAGATCTCGTGAAATCAAAAATGCCACTAGAAAGAAAGGCAGCTTGTAATTGATCGGCTAGATCTGTCGATGATATATTTCCTAAAGACTCTCCCGTGTCGGGATGAAGACATTGAAGCCAAATATGTGGCAAACGCCCTCCTACTTGCAGATGGTCGAGACCCAGTCCATGATGTATCGACTCTTCAGCATTTTGTGCTCTGGGAAACTCAGGCCGGTACCGAAACCCAATATCATCCGTTGGAAAGAGAAGCGGGAGGCTGGCACCATCCCGTAAAATTTTTCGAGCCTTGGCCAGACACATTTCTCCATAAGGATGCCTCACGTTCTCCAATGATTTTAAAGGCCATCGACCCACAGCAAACATGTATGGCAGAAGGGCCTTTGACATGGCATTTGAGATCCGACTTGAAATTCTTGCAGCATCTTTTGCTTGTTCAACGTTTAGGCCCAAAGCCTGCGGCACTCTTAGACTTCTTGAGAAATTGTGCATGCTGAGGCTTGCATTACGCTCAGCTACAGGTCGTCGCTCTGTCTACATTTCATCCAAAGCCATATATAAGGTAACATTAATAGTCACCAGAATGTGCGCATGCATTCTCCCCCCCCCCCAAAAAAGTAGCAGGGCCCACCTTATATATCGTACCTCGTATGTGTCCAATAATGCACCATTCGCCGAGTTTTGTAACACTGAAGCAATTTTCCAAGATAGATTATGAGCATCTTGAATACCGGTGTTCATACCGAAGCCGCCAGCTGGAGGAAATCTGTGAGCTGCGTCTCCAGCGAGGAAAATGCGCCCAGATCGGTAGCGCTGAGCAACTTGGCAGTCCATGATCCACGGTCGCACAGAGTGCACAGTCAAATCCGTGAACGCCGTTCCAATGGCCGCATCTAGCAATGCCCTCACGGTGACAGGGCCAAAGTCCTCAGGAGACTGAGCAGGCGGAAAGTAGGGCACTTGGGCCACAAATTCCCCTGATGGGTAGTGATGCGCCACTAATACACAAACAACCTCTGCGTTATAAATGAAGTACAGCATAGCTGGTCGATGTGATGTGGCCTGCGCCAAAGCGCGAGAGGAAAAATGGATGTTCATAAGATGCTGGACACCTCTCTCGCCGAGCATACTTATTTGAGCTTTATGGCGGATGACACTGGAAGACCCGTCCGCAGCAACAACGTAGTGTCCCTGGAAGACATGCATATCGCACGTTTCTTTCTCCTCGACAAGCAGCTGCACGCCCTCCACCACCTCTCGAACGTCCTTGACCTCGTGACCGAACCGGACGACATGCCCCCCCTTGCCTCCTCGGCTGCGAGTTGTATCTCCTGCTTCTGCCAAGACCTCATCAAAAAGCAGCGGCATGAGCCGGCTCTGTGACAGATGTATGACTTTCGCAGGACTATGCCGGTCCAGAACTTGATGCGCGGCAAGGGGAGGAGCGGCAGTGTTTCGGGAGGTGGAGGATGACGGGAAGTTATCCACACGACCAATCTCTGTGCCATTCAACACTGACGTGGCATAAATGAAATGGCGCCAACATGACTGGTCTGGAACGATTTCAGTGATCCGGCGCATCAAATTAGGAGAATATGCGTGTCGGAAAATCTCCATTGTTCGACAGTTTATAAAATGGGCCTTTGTGGTGTAAGAGAGTAATGCACGATTTTGACTTCGTAAGTTCCTGATATCGAATCTTGACCCTCCGGTCAGAGGCCAAGTGATACTCTGATTTGCCCTTTGAAATAACACACGTATAAATTGAAGTTACCTGCGGATGTTGCGACAACTCTGCATTTTTTTCGAATATAACATTTTGGACGCCACAGCGTGAGAGCAGGGCGCTCAACGTCAAGCCTACAGGTCCTGCGCCAGCAATAAGCACAGGTGCGTGCTTTACCGGTTTTAACTTTTCCATTATCCGCTTATCATATAGTAGAGACGAACACTGCAAAGATTGAACCCTTCGCAGGCTCTGTGAAGGCAAGGTATGTCTGTAAATGACTTAATAAGAAAGAGCCTGCCGATCGGCAAACAGGGATCGGAAAAGAAAGTTGATCGTTGCCTGGAATAATTTGAAGCTTCCAAAGCATTGACATGTTAGAACCTGATGCATCATATGTTTGCATGGCGCCCTATCGTATTTTATGATAAAAATGCGAGGGAGAACCACGCTCGTTATGGAGGGGTTTACGTTAATCAACGCATTACTCAGTAGAAATTGCGTCTCGATGAAAACGACGCAAGAGGCAATATAGAGTGTCAAGGTACACACTTCCGTCTTTTCCCGATTTTTACAGTAGGAAACTAAGATGTGTCTCCGACGTATGCTCGATGGTCTGGAAACGCATGCGTGTCGCGCTCCGTTCGACAACTTGTGGGGGGAGGTTAATTTCTCGCCCTCTCGTCTCTTTTGCCAGGGCGCAGTTTCCAGACGCGCGGCAAAGGGATTGCGGAGTACTTGAATTTAAGTCGTGCTACCTCATTCCAAATGCTTAACCTTACGTCAGCTATACCGCCCTATCTTTAATTGTTTTCATTTTATGTTGTTTTGGTACTTTTCTTGGCTAATTTCTCAGTAAATTCTACTCGCTGCGTCCCAGATCAGGACTAGTCATGCCCTCGATCTCAAAGGCTACGTACTTATGGATACTGACAATAGCAATTGCTTGCTGTTCGGCGATAAAGTGTCTAGCAGTGCAACATGATCTTAAAGAAGCGCGCGAAAAGCTTCGCAGAGAGGAGGAGCTGCGTAACATGGAGCGCGCGGGGCGGACGAAAGCAGAGCGGCGTCTTCGATGTGAACTTAAAGCACTAATCAGGGGACAAACCAATGGAGGCGTGTGTCTTAAGCCCATTGCCAGGATAAGCTCTCCCTTCAAAGGGCGCTGTGGCACACCGCGCCAAGGACTGCTGGCGCCTAATGCACGGTACGTTCTCATGTAGGGCCGACAAATAAACATCGCTAGCGCTCATTTGAGATTGATGCTTACTCAGAGGACAGATAAAACTTCAGTCCGGAATTTGTAAAACATCGCTGGATCAACTAAACGCTTTCACACACATGTGGGTAATCTTCCTCTTCGACCAGAACACGAATTGGACTGATGCTCTATGTTCTGAAAGTGAAAGCTTTACCTACACCGCCAAAATTGCACCGCCGCGTCTTTTTGGTAAAAGAGTCGGTGTCTTCAGTACGCGCAGCCCGCATCGGCCCAATCCGATAGGTCTGAGCGTCGTAGCCATACAGGCTGTAGACGAAAAGGCCGGTGTCATCCATATCTCTGGTGTGGATCTGACCGACGGCACCCCGATTCTGGACATTAAGCCCTACATTCCCTATGACGTAGTCTTAGAGCATAAAGTTCCCGCTTGGGTCGTATGCGAGGATTTACCAGCTTGGCAGTTACAGGTTATGCCCGAGGCGGAGGCAGTATTAAGGGAGCTAGCAACGGAACGAGGTTCCCCATTCTACTCGACATACGAGGAGTTGAGAGCGCTACTGCGCGATGTATTGTTGCAAGACGTGCGAAGTATTCACAAGGGTCGGGGGACTGTAGTTGAGGACAAAAGCTCGTTAAAGGGGGGAGCGAATTTTCCGGAGCCTTTTACCTGCAACATTGACGACATCGCTGTGGAGTTTGTGGCATTGCAAAATGCCATTCAAATAATACGCTGCTCTGAGGAATATCGAAACGCGCTTGATCCGGGGCCTGAGGATAATAAGCTTGTGATTGAGAACAAGAGAAAGTCACACGGATAAAGAAATGTAGTTGCATGACTTTGTAGACTATTCGTGGCAAACTCTTTAAAAAGTCAAAAGTCTCTTTTCCATGGATAAACGTAGAAAAATTGAAAAACGTGCACAAGTGGATTTGGAGCTTTAAAGCCTCCTATTAACTTTACGTGTGGGAACAGTTCCTTGCGCTTCTCCAAAGCGTTATCTCACCATAATTGTAAATATAATCACCACATTGGCGCGACCTAATACATCGGTGCCTCATGTACCTCTTGCGAGCGACAGCTGAAACACGACAGTGTTTTCAACCTCCTTCTTAGTGTGACAATTGCTGAAGGCACTTCGGTGGCGAATTCGCATACTTTATTGTCTTTATTTTGTCTCTCAAACAGGGTTTTTGGGGGCGAAAGATGGCTTTCAGATACAAGCAGTACACTTAATAAATCAGTTCACATGGTGATCTTTGTCAGGACTGTAAGTATCCTACCTACAGCCTCGGACAGTGAAAATAATGCGTGGACATTGCTTATTTCTATAAAGAAACTTTACCACGAAGGGGTCGAGGAAAAATTGACGATGCACGTGCGCGCGTAGAATTCGAGGACTTGTGAGGTGCCCCCGAAGACACGCAGTGCAAAGAACCTAAGTTCTTCCAAGGTAGTATAGATAAGACGATCCTCACCATATCTCTTCATCAACTCGGCCTGTCCTCGAGTTCACATTTGGTTCAAGAAAAGATTAGTGGAGCGGCGGCGACGCGCGGGTCGGGGGCTCGTAAAGTGAATGTCCATCTTCTGCTTGACCCAAGCGTGCAGGCTCTCCAACGAACCCTCGCGAATCATGTCAAGCCCCTCCTTGAAAAGCGCATCTACAGGTGAGACTTTTAGTGACCGCCTCTTTGTTTTGGTGCGCTTATAGCAGTAGGCCGTGTGGCCTTCACTGGAACCATGCATAGAGGTCTGAACCTGCGAAATCAAGGTGACGTCAAACCCGTATCTATCCACGATCAGCTTCGGGCCATGATAGCAGATGAGAAAAGGACATTGCGAGATATTAAATCTGTCAGCAATCTCATAAAACAATGTGGGTGGAAAGCCGATGTCGAACATGTATACGTGTGTGAAAGGATCAAGCGTGCGAGCCTCGGTGACGTCGCCGTAGTGGAAAAAGATTTTGTGGTTTATGCGGCTTGACGCAAATTCTTCACTAATCCGACCACTCCCACTCATCTCAGCGCCCCTTTCATCAGCCTTCGCATCCGCTGTCTCACCGTCTTTTGCTTCAGCTCCAGCGGCCTGGAGGAGGTGCCTGAGGTTGTGAAGGGAAAGCTGCCATCGTACTTGCTCATGTTCAATGCCGTATGAGGCTGCGACTCCGGGGTACTGGGACACATGAATATTAGGCTTCCCTAGACCTGCCCCTATATCAATGAAAATACTGTCTCTGCCGAGTGCGCAGTGTGTTACCATCATGTCCACAACCCGTTGCATGCTTCCTGTGGTAAGCTCTCCGTAGATGGCGCCTCCACTTCCGTTGCCGCCTAGCGAGCCAGTGCAACGCCGAATAATGGAGTATACATTTTTGACGGAAGGAGAGCACTGTATGGAGGTCGGTGTAGCAAATGACTTGGTGCTTCTTGGTTTCTGCGGTGTCGAAAATAAGCTGTGCGGGCAATCGTCCTTTGCACCATTTTCCTCCTTGCCCGTGCCTTTCTTTTCGAAGTCTACGTCCGCTTCGCCGTCGTTGTCCGAAAAAAGATAGATTTTTCGTCCAAGTTTCAAATT